TGTGTATGTGAACACTAGTGTTAGCGTCAGTATTGTTACGTAAAACTGAAATTTCAAAAAACTCTCCACACGCCTATAAATATAACCAACGCACCGCGCCTAAAAGAGTATCTATTAATGGTTTGCTATAGTTGGTGTGCTATAAACTTCGGAAGCTATAACTGTCATTGTTATAACGCATATTAATCGGGACACTTCAAATATTTGATCAGGAATATTTATAAATTTCGAACATTACAAACCATTTAATTTCAGTGGATTCACATCGGACATTAGTATTTTTACAAAGATATTATATAACTTGTGCGGTAAAAGAAACTCGACCTGTAATCGGCGTGTGATCAGCGAGAACTACAAAGCTAGCTAGCTCCCTATTAAGTGAATTGTACCTACATCAACTCGAAATTAGCTCGCTCATGGTGAAGCCTCGATAAGACATCAAGGAAGTTCCAGACTAGAAAGGTGAAGCCTCGATAAGACATCAAGGAAGTTCCAGACTAGAAAGAAGACTCGATATTGTTTGTAAGTTTGTAGAACTTTTGTATATAAATCATTGTTTGTAATAACTATTTGTAATAACTGTCATGGGTAAATTGTATTGTTGTGTGTATATTAAAACATATTTGTGTCAAAAAAAAAGAAAACTGTGTGTATCAATCTTGTTGACAAATATCATAAATTGGAGATATATCGGCATTTATTTAACTACTAAATTTAAATTATCATTTAGCTCGGTTTCAGACCATTCGAAATTGTAATACGTAACAAGAGATAAAAAACGAAGTTTGTTCTAAAGCGAGAGATTTTCTAACGCCAAGTTAAATTCAGGAAAACATCAATTCAAACATAAATCTCCAACAGTTATTATTAATGGTACACAAACTTAAACTATGCTGCCATTCCTCTCCGGTGAAACTCTAATTTTCTCTTTTCGTTTTTGTTACCTACCTGGCAAGATGGTTAAAACTAGTATTAGTAGTTTTAAATCTAAAGTCAGAGTCACTTGTTTTTTTATACATTTAATAAACTTCTGTGTCAAATCAGCTTTCTTTGACGATTAGTTTGAAAGATTAACTTGGTGATCTTTCAAAACTTCCAGACGTTCAATTTCTAAAACTATAAAAATATCAATGTTTAGAAATATGTTCATTAGTTTTTGTTCCGCATTTAGTTAACGTTCTTGTGAATACAACGAACAGCACCAGTAAAGTAAGAGTAAACGTGAATTAATAATCACAGCGAGTCGCGTTTCATATCATTGACCACACCAAACAAAGATCGCCCCAGTTGCTAAAGCAACAAACTCGTGTTCAACATTTCAACTGTCGACACACATTTCTATTTTTACCTCTGGTTCAAATGCACTAAATACTAATACTATAGTTACAATGCAAAACAGAGAAGTTTAAACTTGGTGATAAAAGCAAACTGTATTTATTTTTTCTTTGGCATCGTGAGCAAGCCTTGTTACACATCGTCAAACTTTGCTTTGAATCGACTTGAAGAACGATTGAAGGGCTTCTTTTCTATTATTTCATTTTTTGCTATACTTTTTTGATTCCCGTTTTTCCAAAATGTTGGTAAACATTAATATATACAGAACATATGCAAGCTATTTCAGCGATATTTTAAGTTACAGTAAATTAAGCCACTTTTCTAGCTCTATTTTAGTTTTGAACTTTCCAAAATTTCACGTTTCAAAGGTGAGCGACAATTTAAAGCAAATGAATACTTTACTATACACTATTAACGCTCTGTCTTACTATTTCTTCTTTGTTTCAGACATTCGTGCAAAGCTACACAAGGACTACCTGTCCCTAATTTTGAAATGTTACGTTAGAAGGAAGGCAGCTACTTAACGGCACCCATCGCCAACTCTTAGGCTACTCTATTCGAATAGTGGGACTTTACCGTCACTCTTATAACGCACCCACAACCTCGGAGTGTGAAGCAAAATTTTTCAGTAACGTCAAGCTAACGCACATAAAATAAATACTAGCTTTGCTGGTCCAAGTTTACTTTCTGTACCATTCTGCTATTTCTATTCATAAACATACTATGTTATATAATGTTCATTTATTTGGGAAGCCGTGCTAAACACGCCGAGTGTCTAAACTAACTCCAAAATCTACATCTAGATAGAAAGGATGAGATCGGTGAAAGGATCTAGATTAGGTACAACTGATGTACATACAAATATAGACATATAGGTGTGTATGGCCTATCATTCTCCGAAATTTCGACATAACACAGCAACAAAACATGGTCGAACAACATCACTACTTTAAAGAGGTCAGAAAGTACGAAACATTCCCCCCGGAAGTGCGAGTCACACAAGGATGGACGCACACTGGTTAACCCTATTCACAATAAATGATGGAACTACGTTACTGGTGAACAATAGGCATGACCGAAATACCAAAGAACAGCCTAGTTTTGTTTGTTTGTTTGTTGGATTTCGAGCAAAGCTACACGAAGGCTGTCTGCGAGCGGTCTAATTTTGAAGTAACAGACTAGAGAGAAGCAGCTAGTCAACACCACCCATCAACTCTTGGGCTGATCCTGTCAAACATAATACTGGAATTTGACCGTCCATGACCAAGAAGTGAGGAGAGCCTTTTCTTTTTTGGCGGTAAAGGAACGCGAACCAGGGAAGATAAGCTCCACAGTCCATATGGGTAACCAATAATACAGCACCTAGAAATGTCAAACCATGTCTTTATCCAACACAACGAAAGTTCTAATTAGTGACTTGCGTAAAAAAGTACACTGCTAATGAACTTTTCTAATTCATAGCTCTAAGAAACGAGAAATTGATATATAAATATCGTTGTGGCGACATTTACTGTGCACCACAAGGTCATATTCAGTTTGCTTCCCCCCCTAACGAGAGGTTGATGTACAAAATCCTCTTTCCCGTATTTATGTTACATTCAGAAACATACCTGTACCGTTGATCATGTTGCAATACTTGGAATGCCAAAACGAGAGGGAGCTGAAAAAAATGAAAATACAGATTTAATTTGAATAAAAATTGTTGAAATCATGTAAGAAGAAAACTATTAAAAATTCAGAACAGAACTGTTCATCTTATGAAAATAAAAAACGTTAAATAAAAACTCGTTTTGTTTATTATCACTATTTTAAATACATCACCCGAAACATAAAAAAGTATTATTATTGTCAGTGTTATTGGAAAAATACAATGTTGATGACTAATTTTAACCCATCGAAGCATGAGGTTATTTTGATAAGATATGTTAGTAAGCTCGCCCGACAGTAACCTCCTGGTTGCTAACTTTATAGCCGGATTCAATTAAACCACACCGACTCCGACTTCATTCTGGTTGCTAACTTTACAGCCGGATTCAATTAAACCACACCGACTCTGACTTCATTCTGGTTGCTAACTTTACAGCCGGATTCAATTAAACCACACCGACTCTGACTTCATTTTACTCCCTTTGTTCACATACATTTTTGTATAACGTGCAACATGAATGAACGTATTTCCACAACGATTTGTGTTCATTAGGGTCATTTTCAGATTATAAAAACGTACGCGTGTCCTTCCCCTGCAGATATCGGGATGGCTGCAGTACTATTGTCACGTGACAGACGTTACACACACACACAGCAGAGTGTTTTGGATTGCAACAAACTTCGAAACTACGCTCCTAGGTATTCAGGTGCAAAAATCTTATCTGTTGGTTGGTTGTTTCTAGCGCACAGTTACACAATGCGTTAAAGTGTTGCAAGTCCATGAACTTCCGTTCACCAACCGGGGGAAGTCCTCACCAATAAAGTGAAAACCACAGTAACGAAAGCCGTTGTTATGAGACTGTAAATATTTCCTTATACTATTTAACAAAATAATAAAGATATGAAGCCGACGAAGATTCACTGGAAAGGTTGTTGCTAGGTGTAAAGTTTTTGGGGAGATTGGAGTTTTCATTGAAAAATAACATACATGCTGTAGAATATGGTAGAATAAACTAGAGAAACTGAAAGAGGAAGATCGATTATAAATCACCAGACTTAGGTGTCAGCACAGATAGGAGAAGGTTGGTTCAATCCCTTTCTGTTTTATAATATAAATCACCAGACTTAGGTGTCAGCACAGATAGGAGAAGGTTGGTTCAATCCCTTTCTGTTTTATAATATAAATCACCAGACTTAGGTGTCAGCACAGATAGGAGAAGGTTGGTTCAATCCCTTTCTGTTTTATAACAACGAGTTGGCCTTGGACAGTAACTTACACAGCTTCTATAGTTGAAACGCATCAGCTGTCGCCTAGTGAAAATATTCGAAGTCACACTCATTGTGGGAGATTAAAACGTGATCTTTTATGTAAAAGGATAAACAAATAACTAGTGAAAGGATTAGCACGGGGGATTTAGAAAACTTTGGGATTTCAGCCACACCTCCAAATCAATGGCTGTTTTCACAAGAAGGACGGCCGAATAAACTGAAATGACAACAATCCCACTAGATTGGGACTTGTGGTTCTGGTCTGCTTATACGTGTGCTTGGAAGTGGTAAACGTAAGACATTGTCGATTAATGGAAGATTGCTATAAATGTTCCACAGATGGCTTTCCGCAAGAATAAGTGTTAAAATTATGATAATCCAAGCCAATTTTCAAGCGACTTCTAGTTATGATAACGATACCAATTGATTTTCCTTTACATTAATTATTCCAATAAGTATCCAATAATAGTTTTCATCCACCTATACACTGACCTTAATAAACTGACAGTTTATAAAACGTACTTGTAATACTAAATATTACCTTTTATTTTTCCATGTCTCCACTAAAGCAAAATTTTCAACTCCTTGACTTCCGGTATACACTGAATAGATTCCATCGTCACTGTTGTTTTTCTTTAGAAAAAACATAAGACCTTTTCTCATAGGGCATTTTTTTTTCCATGAAAAATATTTACACAATTTTTAGCATTTATTAATTTGAAAACTGTTAGACATAGTATATTAAAAGCAACAACACTTCACCGACATTAGTTTGTCGGCAGCAGGTTAAGGGAATAAAAGAATAACACGAATTTAAAAAAATAAAATGATAAACACCAATCAGTGATAGAAAAAATGATCACGTGATAAACATCAACCGATGACAGGCAAGATTATCACCCAACAGCTCAAGATGCAGACCATTATGGGAACAAATATTAATATCGTGAAAATGATGTTGCTTTTAATATGTTTTTATTTGACTTTTTTTGTTTAGAAACTTCAAATAATGAAATTTCATAAACTGCTCAGGATATTTTCTTGTTCACAATTCTGTAGCCAAGTTTGTATAATAAAGCAAGCATTTCACATATATGAAAAATATTTTCATCCAGCAACAAGAACAAAAATCATAATAATTTCTAATGAATGTTATTTTAAATGTTCCAAACATTTTGGATTATTTCGTATCAGTTGCCTCTCTTAATTACTATTTTCAAAACTTTTGTACTGACCCCATAGAAAACTCCAAAAGTATTATTAGGCAGGATCGTTGGAATGTCAAAAAAGGGTTTGGCAAGATTTGTTAGGTCTTTAAGAAGTGGAACTTCGTATCCTTCAAACAGAATTTGTCGAACAGTCCGATTAACAAAGAGCTGTTCATTGTAACTCTCCAGTAACGAACTGAGAATAGGCATGAAGATTGGTCGTACAAGACCCGAGAGCTTCTGCATTGCCATGGTAGCGATTCCCTACAAAAATAAAATTGAAGAAAAGCAAAAAATCAGTTGAAAAGAAGTGATAAAGTTTGAACAATATAATATACAAGTTTTTAAAGACTGTAAGAAAACACATAAAAACATTGTATTTTAATTAAACGTTACGCGTGCTTCTGTAGAGGGTTAGTAGGGAAACATCTATGAAATTGTTTCATATTTAAAGTACACACCACCATCGGCGCATTGATGACGTAGACCATCTCATCCTGCGTGCCGAACGACTTTTCTCGGTCGAAAATGTATGTTTTGATTTCTCGGTATTGTACGGTGCCGTTTTCAGTGTCCCAGCTAAGTATTTCTTTACTTCTCTTCTCCCTAGAACAGTACAATAGAAACGTGTTGTAGGATATGTTTTTTTAATTTAAATGTTTCTATTGCTTTTTTTGGTTAAAGGGAGATTTTGTACGTTATGTGATGAGTGCGTGGCTTAATGACTAGAACTTTCTAGTTTCTTGAAAATGTAGGAAGACGAATGATGTAAAACGCGATTTATGCTAGGGTATTACTGATTTGTGTGTCTGTTACAATGGAAGATAGGTTAATGAGTTAGGGAGTTTGTGTGTTAGTTCAGTTTGTGAACATTATGTTAGTGTTTCAACGAAATATTAGATATGATAGAAGATCACAGGTAAATTAAATTGTTGTGTTAGCATCTGTTGTAATGTTAGGTCTATCAGTGAACATAAGTAAAGCTAACTTATAGAACTTGAACTTTGAAGTTCAAGAAATAAAATGCTATTATTTTATCATTAAGTGTACTGGACTTTGTATTATGCTTTTGAAAGAAAAGACCAAAACAACTCGCCCTACAATATTGTTGTGACGTTCTTTCCTTGCGGGTTCTCTTAAATTATCAGGCGAAAACACTTCAACGTCCAGTCCACTTAGTAAGATGAAATCAGTTTCTTTTCTGTATTAAACATTTATAGAAGCTTACTCCACAGTTTTAAGTTGCAGACCTTAGCTTACAGCCACACTAACTCTACTACATAACAGTTAATAAAACATTAACTTACTTATTCAACGTAGCAAACACGGACAACACTATACTTTGAAATAACTTATCTCAACTATTCTGCTACTTTCGAGATTTCACTGATCCATTTATATAATTAATATTTGTTATAGAGATTTTTAGGACTAACATGAACTTAATGTCACATTACATCATCAAAACGCGCAGCTCCCTCTAGTTAACAAAGTACGTCATTGAAAATATAGCTTACCACAATAGAAACAAAAACACGAACAGTATAGAGCTACACACACACACACACACACACACACACACAAAAGTAAAAATAAATAATATTATACGCAGATACATGAGAAGAACATGGGGTACTATTCTATAAAACTCTTCCTTTTGCAAATTTCACTGCCTCTAATTGTCTTGATCGAGAGGGGTGACAGTCTGAACATCTTTGTCAAGTGTGAGAAGCGATGCAATATAATATCTGTATAATGGCTGGAGACGGCTTGAATGGGTAATGAAGAAAAACTTTAATATAACAGCAAATGCACAACGTTTCGACAAGGTTTTGTCATCATCAAGTACCTAAAACGTATTAGATATATCAAACATTCTAGCCAATACTTTTAATGAAAGTAACAAAAAAAAAAGATTGTTTGTTTGGGGGCAACAAAAAGAAATTGATAATATCTTGCTGACGTCGGTGAATTTGTTTATAGTATTGGAACTGGCAACGCGTCAGTATTTGTTGTTGTTGTTTTTTTTTTTTTTCATTTACGTACTTATAATACAAGAAGCTGATGATGGCCAAATATTATAATACTACGAAGATCCTTCCAACGTTTTCTATTTAATATTACTATTTAGTTTCATTAATGTTTACTTTGACTTTCTGCGATCGAAAAAAATACTTAAGTTTGTTTGATAACCTTGGGAATGAATACATGCTTACATCCCCGATAAACGAGGTTTTGTTTGTCAACCTTGTACTTCAAAGTCCTTGTCAAGCATCACTGCATAACTTCAGTTAGACAATAAAATAATCAATACAAGAAAGCTACAGTTAGCTAGAACGGTTCGAGTTAAAAAACAACAACAACAATGCTTTAGCATTTAAAAGCTAAATAGAAGTTGGAATTAGTTACTCTATTGAATGGTAATAACAATTTTGATAGGAATACATTACCGTGATTATAAAATCAATCAAAATGATTTTATTTTCAAAAAGTACAAAGTTACAGGCGTATTTCATGGCATTTTTGTAATTAAAGTTACATTGATTAAAGTTGTATGTACCGACAGTTGCTCGTAGACGATGAAAGAAAAAATAATTATAAAATATTTACACGGAATACAATCCTTAAAAAAAAAGATGTTTGAGTCAGAATACAATAATATAAAACAGAACTAGTGTTTGTACATTTACATTGGATGTTTGTGTCAGAATACAATAGTATAAAACAGAACTAGTGTTTGTACATTTACATTGGATGTCTGCGTCAGAATACAATAATATAAAACAGAGCTAGTGTTTGTACATTTACATTGGATGTCTGCGTCAGAATACAATAATATAAAACAGAGCTAGTGTTTGTAAACTCACACTGGATGTTTGAGTCAGAATACAATAATATAA